CTTATCACTGTAGACTTTTGTTCCTTCAAATGAAAACACAAATGCAGATTGATAATTTTAGCATATTTCCTGATTGTACTCAAGGGGCTCATCACTGTAAATTAGGGAAGCAGAGAAAAGTTTTGTATGATAATTTCAAAGAGATTTGCACAGAATTTCCATTTTGGATAGTCTCTTAGATAAAATCTTATCTCTGGTTAAAGTGTTTTCATTCTCTCTTAACACCTTCTTTGATAGAACGTGAATTCTTGTGCTTCTGCTACTGATGGGCATACAGACCTCTAAAGAGTAATTAGCTGACTCTGAGGTACAGGTTCTGATTTATGTAGTGAATAAATAATAATTACTATAATTGCTTTTTAATTGATTATGCATGTTCGTGGGGTAAAAGCTGACAATCGCCACCTACCTCACCACATGTGATGATCAGATCAATACTATCAGCATGCCCATTACCACAAATTGCCATTTTTCCCCATGTCCCATACCCAACTGCTCCCCGACCTCTCTTCCCCTGTACCCCTCCACCCCAGGAAACCCTAGGTATGCTCTCTCCCTCAGAAATTTCAAAACACCTCTATAGTCATTTTTTCTTTCCATCTTTCTCTCTTAGCTCCCACTGATGAGTGAGGATGTGTGCTATTTTTCCTTCTGTGCCTGGCTTATTTCACTCAACATAATTTTCTAAGAAGTTCATCCATGTTACTATGAATGGCAGAATTTCATTCATTTTTGTGGCTGAGTAGTATTCCGTAGCGCATATATATATATATATATATATATATATATATATATATATATATTCTATCAGTCTGTTCCTCTGGGGAACCCTGACTAATACACCATGTATTTACACAGTGTGATCAGTAATAGCATGGGCTTAGGGATCAAGGAAGCCAGGGGATGAACTGGGATGGCCTCAGGTGTACAAAGAAAATACAAACAGGATTTAATTATGTAAGCTTATTATGAAATTTAATGAGTAGGATAAATTAATTAAGTTAAATTAAAAATAGGGGCTGGTCAGTTTGCTCACTTGGAAAAGCATGGTGCTGATAACACCAAGGTCAAGGGTTCAGATCTTCATATCAGCCAGCTGCCAAAAAAAATTAAAATTAAATAAATAAAAAGTAATTTTAAAATTTTATTTATTTATTTATTTGTGTGTATGTGTGTGTGTGTGTACAGCTTGCCTGTACAGGGATTCAAACCCTTGACCTTGGTGTCATAACACCATGCTCTAACCAACTCAGCTAACTGGCCAGCCCAAGAACTCCAAATTGTTAGTATAATAACAATAATAATAATGTAGGTAGAATACTCCAGAGCAGTTCTATCACTTACCCCGTCACAACCAACAGAGCGTTAAAGCTTTCCCTTGGTGAACTTGCTACACCATCTACGTAAGCCTGTGTGAACCTAGGTAATTCTTGCCTGAGTGTCAGTCACACCTCTGTAAGACTTTTGGACAAGATCCAACACCACAGTGTCCAGAGGTGATAGTACAACTACAAGAACATTTCAAAAGCCTCTCCAAACTTAAATATACTACTTTCTTTTCATCTATAGTATCTCAGACTTACTCTTCTAATCACTAATCAGCCTAAAGGTCAACAAATATTAACTGAAGGAAAGAAAATTTCCCTCAAAATCTAAAACACCTTTAAAAAGAAGTTCAAATTGAGGACTGCCAACCCCAACTGAAAGTATATAAGAAAAAAAAAAGAATTTGAAAAATATGACTTTTATTAAAAGCTCCCTGAATAGTATGCCTGCATAAGAAATTTTTCTGAAAAATTTATTGAGGGTAAGAATGGATTTCTGATATTTATTACCAGTGTATTTTTAAAGATTTAAAATTCAGATTAATATAAAAGCTGATGTGTAAAATTCATTGCAAATATTTGTTTTAATTTCAGCTGTAAATTTTGGGAGTGTTTTTTCAGAAAAGTTAGTCTTTTTAGTCTAAAGTGCCTGATTTTTATTCACTCTTGTTGATATTCTGCTCTAGTCTCATCCTCTGTCTTTGAAATGCATGGATATACTTAATACCTACAGAGTTAGCAAGTGAGATTGGCTTTTCTCCCAGTGCCAGCCAGTGAGCCTCCCTGACTGCAGTCCCCTCCAAGCTCCCTCCAGGCCCCTACACCTGTGCTGAGCAGGCTCTAAGAAGCAGCCAAACAAATCACTTGTAAATAACCTGGTGCACCTGTATGTGGGCAGAGGACAGTGAGCCCAAGGCCTTGTTACAGGGCTCTCTCCCCAGAGAGAATTGGAAGCACACAAATAGTCCCAAAGAGACCCACAGTGGCAGAATATGGCAGGTATAAAGAGATTTGCTACAGTCTCTTGGGGCAGCAAGATTGATCTTATTTCTTTTCCTCATTCTGTCCCTAAAGGGAAAGGCATTGAGGAGAATGGCAGTGGATATGGAGATATCAGTATACGAGGGGTCTTCAAAAAGTTCAGAGAAAGATTCGTACTATCTTTTAATTCTATTTTTCCATGAACTTTTTGAAGTACCCTCATATATGTACATACCTAGGTAGATGATAGATAGAAAGATGTCATACATATGAGTATATATCCAGAATGTATTTTTTTTTAATCACCCAAAGTCCATAATTTACATTAGGGTTCATCTCAGTGTTATACATTCTGTGGGTTTTGGCAAATGTAGAAGATCATGTATCCACCATTATAATATAATACAGAATAGTTTCATTGCCCTAAAAATCTTCTGTGCTTTGCCTGTTCATCCCTCTGTTCCCCCAATCTCCCTAACTGTTGATTTTTTTCCTATCTCCACAGTTTTGCCTTTCCCAAATGTCACATAGTTGGAATCATATACACTATGTAGCCTTTTCAGATTGGCTTCTTTTAATATGTACTTAAGGTTCCTCCATGTCTCTACATGGCTTGATAGCTCATTTCTTTTTAGCGCTGAATAATATTCCATTGTCTGGATGGACCAGTTTATTTATCCATTCTCCTACTGAAGGGCATCGTGGTTGCTTCCAAGTTTGGTTAGTAATAAATAAAGCTTCTATAAACATCCATGTGCAAGTTTTTAAGGAGATATAAATTTTCAGGTAGTTAGGGTAAATATCAAGGAGTGAGATTGCTGAACCGTGGGATGAGTATGTTTACTTTTGAAAGAAACTGTCAGAATATCTTTCCAAAGTGTTTATACCACTTTGCATTCCCACCTGTGATCTACTTGGAGAAATGAAGCCAAATAGCACCTTATCTTTTTCAAAGAACAGATGCACTGATAAGGCATCTTAAGAGTTATTTGTTTTGATATCTGATGCATTCTGAAATGAGCTCAATTAATTTCACAGTTTCTCACCCATTAATCTAGGATTTCAGGTATCATACCATGTGCAATTTCAACCCTATGAAACCCTCAGAAATTTGTGACCTTGCTGGCCTAAAGATTGGCCTTTGATTTGCAACTTGCAATTTGCCCAATGTGGACACCTGGGTTAAGAATAACTTCCCTGTCCCAGGGAAGTTACTTAACTGCAAGCTAAATAAATCTGTATGCTTCTTTAGTAGGTCAAAATGAGAAATTCAATTATATAAGAAATTAGGTAGAGAACTGATATGGGGTGAGGAGGAAGTAAAAGGGTCATAGCCCACGTAGGCGGAATTCTGCATTCACAGCGTGCAGTCTCAAAAGTACCTCAGCACCGGCCATACTTTTGTGTTCCCAGCACGCTCTCACTTTTCACAGTGACTGTTTCAAATCTACTCTATACTCTCTTCTTCTCCTCTTTCCTGCTCATTCTCAGCCAACAATCTCATTTCCCATTTCAAGAGACAATAAAACCTCCATACAAATTTTGCTCAGCCTCTGCCACCAGCTTGGACCTACTCATCCTTCTTCCTGTTAGAATCTGAGGGGAACTTGCTCCTTCTGAGTCAAACTCTTCCACCTGCCCTTGGTATCCTGTTCCTCCTGCCTCCGTAGAGCCTCATTCCTCAGAGTTTCCCTACTTTCTTGCTCACCTCTGATCCCTCTTTCTTCTCCAGCTCCTTTCTTGCCAGCATTTAAACCTGATTTCCCACTTCAAATAAAGTCCACTCAGTCTCAGTCCTTCAACTCATCAAAGTATAGGTCCATCTTTCCCTTTAGAGACAAATTTTATAAATAGTTAATTCGTTTATTCAGCAAGTATTTGCTAAGTGTCAACTACGTGCCAGGCTTTGTTTTAAGTATGAGATTCGGCAAAGAACACAGCAAACAAAACTCCCTACCTGCATGGGACATCTATTCTACCAACGTGCTGTGACTGTCTTCTTATTTCCAATTCATATCACCACCCAGCGTCATCTGGCTTCTGCCCATACTCTCCTCTGAAAACTGCTCTCACCAAGGACACTAATGATCTCCTGTTGCAAATCACACAGACATTGTTTCAGTTCTCATGTTATTGGACCCAAGTTTTGCAGCATTTGACATGATTGACTTCTCCTTCAGATGATGTCCATTCCCTGATTACAAACTTTTAATGGCTGTACATCTTATTTAGGATAAAGTTTTAAATCCCCAAGAGTAAACAAGGCCATTACCGATGAAATCTCCTGCTTTCCTGTCCAGCCTCAAATCTCACCTTCTTAGCTTTAGTCTCGGTCTGCCATTCTTGGTTCCACCCACGCTGATCGCTCTATGATCGACTGGAAGGGCCAGGTACTCCTTTCCCCTTCTTCTTCTGTCTCATCCGTGGCACAGAGGAGCTCCTTAATAACTATTACTTGAATTAAGATCATGTTCATTGAAGACCTACTTGATACCAGGCACTGTGCTACATGCTTTCCAAATAGTATGTCACTTAAGCTTCATAAAAGATCTTCAAGACAATAATTCCTATGATCAGAAAACTGGGCCAACAAAAAGTAAAATAACCTGTTCCCAGCTATTTAGATCTGTGGTTGCCCAGCATCCCAGTGACGAACAACCTCAACAAGAAGAAATACCGACTGAAAGTCAGGATACTATTTGGTCAAGAGAGAAGATGGTTCAAGGGCCTGGCCTGGAAGCAGATCAACAGAAACTGGCTCAGGCAAAGACTAGGGATGTGTGTGTGCGCGCGTGTGTGCGTGTGTGCGCGCGTGTGTGCGTGTGTGTGTGTGTGTGTATCATCATCATGCACAGTATATATTTATGTATATGATAATGTTTTGGCATCTTAAAAACCTTCCTGGCTGGGAAGAGAGTGCTCCTCTCCAGGCTAGCCAATTCTTAAGAGATAGCAAAAGGCTTAACCAGAAGCATACCCTTGATATAAAAACTAACCAGTCCAGAGCCACACCTCCTCCATCTGGCCCTTACATCCTAGAAGGCAATATCCCTCTGCCTTAATCACCCCAGGGCCTGACACACTAGGGACCCCCCACCCCAAATCTTAGAGCCGATGGAAATTACTCAAACTAGCCATTCTTAAGAAAATCCTCACAGAGGCTCTGGCTTAAAACTTCTGCTAACTCCTGTCTTCCTCCTCCTGACCAGCCTGAGTCTTCCCCATGGGGCCTTGGGTGGAATGCCATGCCTCCTGTCTCTGGGACCTGTGAATATAATAGACTTTGTCTTCTTAAGCCTTTCCTGTGTCTCCTCTTGTGGCTGCACCTAAATGACCATCTCATAAAAGAACACAAAACAGGGGATGAACATAGAGATGGTCCTGAGGACAAGGGGAAGATTCTACCAAACGCCAGAAACAGGTGAAGGGCAACCATAGGTCTAAATGAAAATAAGCCAAAACCATGTAGTCTATTCTCATGTTGGAAATGTGACTGTTAAAATTCTCTCAATAGTTTCACAATTTTCTCCCCAAAAAGGTCACAAAACTAGTAAGTAGTGAGAGAGGATTTGGCAAGTTTGACTCTATAGCAAAAAGGGCATTTCATGTTTCTGTAAGCTTCATAATGAATTAAAGAGAATTATATTAGTGCAAAATAGAGTTGCTGGAAGACCCCTCATCATGATGCCATGACAGGGTGAATCCATGTCTGTTTTTTTAAATCCCCTTCTCTTTGTGAGAATTTTTCAAATTCCCAGCATAATATTTCCCCTAATTCTACAAAAGTTTTTAAGTCTTGATGTGATAATAGTGTTAGAACTGGAAGAAACTAAAAGATGGCTGTCCCTAACACCAGATTCTAAATCTTTACATTCTACCCACAAGCAGCCATCTTTTACAAGGAAGGTCCCTGAAAGAAATAGACGCAGTTAATCTTTTCCTGGTAGAATACCTCTTGATCTTTCATACTCAAGCCTTGTAGGTAGTATATATCACTTTATAACACCAAGGTCAAGGGCTTGGATCCCTGTACTGGCAAGCTGCCAAAAAAAAAAAATAGTATGTAGCTCTCAAGACAATATTTTTTGGCTAATATTTATATAGGCAAATGTATATATACATATGTGTGTGTGTATATGTATATATTCTCAAAATTCAATACCACATTTTATTTTTTTGTTTTGTTTTTTTGATTTTTGTTTTTTGTTTTTTGTTTTTCTGAAAATGATATTCCCAACAAAGATTAGCTTTAATCAAAGTCTATAAAGTTTTGTAAAAAATGATGATGATGATGATGATAACAATGAAGAGGATGGTGATGATCACAATGAATATATTGAGATGGTGATGACGATGAAGATAATGGTGGCAATGATGACGATGGTAGCAGCAGCTACCATTTCCTGAGCACCTAAATGGCCTAGTTACTATGTTGGGCACTTTATATACATTATCTCTGATTATTACAATAACCCTGTAAGTTGAGGATTGGCTTCTTCACTTAATGCATGACAAACCAAAGCTCAGAGAAGTGAAGTAAACTTCTTGGGGTCATCACCCCAGGCATGGAAAGGGATTGATAGAAATTATTGCTTGAATTATTGCTCCAAATCCTGTGATCGTAACCACTAACCTAACTGCTTCATTCATTTATTCCTTCATTTGTTCATTTATTCTTCAAATGTATTTATCTATTCAATACTTATTTACTTAGTCCCAGGTATACCTATTGTAGCTGCTAGACCCTTCTAATCCTCCTATGTCAAGAAAATGCCTCCATTCTTGAATTAGGAATAAATAGAAATGAGGGTGAATTACATTCAAATCAAGATTTATCACAATGAATGCTCCTATAACAAGTGTGAAAAAAACTATCAGTGATTTTTTAGCTCTGCTTATAAGCAGATGCCAATTACTGGCTTCACTGTTAATACCACATTTTAAACAAAACAACATGCATAAAAAGTTTCATTTATTTTTCAAATAATTGATAGGATACAAGAATCACATGAGAAGAGCCCCAGTGTCAATCAAATCTGCAATTCAGAAGTTGCTGACACTAAGAGAAGCCATGTGAACTTCATACAAAGCTAAGATGTTAACAGCTATATCAATTTTTTGGTAGCCCCCAGGAAATAATATTTTAAACATTTTTTCATCCTCACATGACAGTTTATTATGTATACTATTTTGCTGTGTTCAACTACATTTTAGAAAATTGGCTCAGAGTTTGGGGTTAATATGCAGCATGATGTAATTTTTACCATCTATACTAATGTAAAATGTTTCCTGTTAATATTCTTTCACCATAAAGTCTGATTTTCAGAAGTGAATTACTGGAATTAAACATGAAATGCCTATCTATGCATAGAATACAAAATCAGGAAGAGAACTAAATTAACGCTCTTACCCAAAGGAATCCTCCCACTTGGACCTTTCTCTGACATTCCCTCTCCACATGGATAAGGAGACTGCAGAGACAAGGACTTGTTTGCCCAGAGCCCAGAGCCCCTTCTGGATCATAATCTGAGTTCCTGGAACCTTGGAATTCCCTTCAGGCAGTACGAAGAGCAGAGGCAAGAAGGAATTTTGTCAGCAGAATCAGCCCTCTTTTAATGAGCTTTCCAAGAAACCGCCACCCAGTCACTTCTTCTTACATCTCATTTGCTAAAATTGTATCAGATGACACCCCTACCTGTAAGGGAGGCTGGAAATATGACTGAGAGCACTGCCACAACCGAAAAACTGGGGTTTTATATTTAAGGAAGAAAGGAAAATTGGATTTAGGTAGGCAAATAGCAGTTTCTGCCACAGACGGGGTTATTTGGGGACGATCTGTAATCTTTTTCCAAGTCATCATTCACTGTGTTTTGTTTTTTCTCCTTTAACCTAACAACCTCAATAGTATGTCCAATAGTCAATTAGCAGGGGGGAATATCAGAAGACTATTAGAATACCTTACCTATTTGTTTGTCAGGAAATTGTCAATGCTCCCAGATATGAGCATCCACCTGAGATAGAGAGTTCTGTTCCTCAGCACCTTGTGAATGTTCCTACATTTTGACTCTAGAAGCATCTGAAATAATCAGGAATGGGCTAATAATTCAATCTGAAAATCACACTATATAAGACTATCTGTACATATTCCATTGCCGTCCCAAATTATGCTTGGCAGCTTTAGACCCAAGATAGAAAAAACCAGAGACCACTAAGGGAGTTATCAGCAGGTGTGACTACTCAACTGATTTCTAGAGGTGGGAAAGTTAAACACAGCAGGATATTGCTGTGAAAAGCAAGAAGTTTCATCAAGACAACTCCTGGAGTTTTCGGGTTCAGAATGAACCCATCTAGGCACACCGCTGCTGCCACAGGGTTTGCCCGGTGGAGCCGGGGACCAACACCTCCTCCCACATCCAGGCAAGGATCACACCAAAAACACCACTTCTGTGTGACCAGAGCCACCACAATAGCCATGGCTGCCACAAAGGCAGCTAGATGCCACAACCACCATGCAAATGGTCTGCCAGCCACTCAAGTGCATTGACACAGGGAGAGTCACCAGTGGAGACCAAAGAAAAGAAGAGGATGTCTCTCTCCACAAAGCCCATTTCAAAGTGACAGAAGAAGAATCTGCTCTACAATAATTGTGGGTACCTCAACACACCTCTCAGCACCGGACAGATCATTTAGGCAACAAATCAACAGAGTAACCATTACTCTTTCAGAGGGAGAGAAGAAATCTAGAGTTATCAGAAGTGGGAAGAAGGATGGAGAGGGGGATAGAGAGAGACTGGATAAGGGGCATAAAGAATAAGTATGATTTGTAATAATATCCATACTAATATTACTGATTGGATCACCATACATCGACAATGAACCCCCGAAATATGTATAATCAGTTATGATTCAATTTTTTTAAAAAGTGGCCTGAGCCAAAAAAAAGTAGGCCAAAAGCAGGGGGGAGGTATTATTCTTACCATGGAAAAGCTGCCCCAGCCAGTGCCCCACAACCTGCCCTTTCCATCTTCTTGTATCCTAATCTCTACTTATGTGAGCACCAGCATTTTACCTTCATGGATCAAAAAACAAAACGAAAAAAATAAAAAGCCCTTAAGGATGTTTTTAAAAATAATTCTATGGATTTCCTAGAGAGAATAGAAGGAGGGCCACAGAGGAAAATCCTTCCCATTCTGGTATTTGGACCTTCCCTGCCCCCAGATTAAAAGCTGCTCCTGCAAAAAAAATAAAGTCTCCTAAACCAAAAAAAACTTGTTTATATACACAGAGGCTACTGTAAAACCAATTTATATACAACACAACAGAGAAAACTCATCTTGACTACTTAGAAAAATCAAATGAAGCTGCACTAAATCATCCAACCAAACTCACGAGAAAGGTCACAGAACGTCGATCACATTAGAACCTAATCCAAGAATTGCCAATAGAGAGAACAATGTGAAATTTCTGAACTTGGCCATGACCCCTACAAATTTAAGATGATGGGTCTCCTCTTGCTAATATGTTTATACAAGTTCCTAGAAATAAATTAATGGACCCCTCAATATATTTCTCCCTCCATATTATAAGAACTTAAGGTCCCAGAATAGGTAAAAAAAGGTTTCACTTGCCCAGATGCTCTTAATCTTCTCTGACCCAACCAGAGGGGTCACTCTCGGGTACCTGGTTTGAGTCTTCTTCTTTCTTCAACAACTTGCATCAACTTCCACCAAAACTGGAGTCACAACAACCTCAGCATCTGCTAAGCTGGGTTGCTCCAACCCTAATGTTTCTTGTGTTCAGAGCACATTTGTAAAAGGACCAACCCCTCGCCCGCTGAGTTTAGAAACTTTAAGGAAATTTTTGGCACAAAATACAAGCACTATAGTTTTTTCTTTTTTGTTTGTTTGTCTATTTTGATATTTTTGGTGGCTGGACAGTATAGGGATAGGAACCCTTAACCCTAATGTTATCAACACCGCACTCTGACCAACTGAGATAACCAGCCAGCCCAAGCACTACAGTGTTTACATCTCAGCACCTGTACATCTCCAACAGCATTCTCCAAGCCAAAGCATATATTACAACCTAACCCACATCACTGTTACCAGTCACAGGGCATAGCAGAGATAGTATCATCGAGTGGAAGGATGCAAACTGCGGAAAACTGTAAAAGCACTCTTGTTATTGGTAAATCAGGATGGCTATTTGGAGAAGTCATTTGCCTCAGCTAAGGGCAGCTTAGGACCTAGATCCAAAGTAGGCCAAATGACCTACCCTGTTCCTTTCTGCCTAAGCATGTGAGTCTCAGACTTTTCTAATCCAGAGGGAAAAGCTCATCTAACAAAAAGTTCTGTTCTGAGAACTTGGATTTTCTCCACGATGTGCAGAGACTGCTCCTTCCTCCTTGGGCCAGGGGAAGAGTGGG